TTGGGCAAAATTAGTTAATTCCGGCCCTGCCGAGCATGATTCCGAAGTATTCCGACCCGGAATTTTGGGGATCTCCCTGTATGAGTTTTTTATTTTAACCCAGGTGAAAACACTTATATGTAATAATGACTGAGATTGAAAACTTTTATCGCAAAAAAACGTATTAGAACTTACGTAAGAAAGTGATAAAAAGACTAAAAAAATCCCATAATTCACATTTTTTTTTGTCAAATAAATAAATAGTCATACATTTGCGTTAGTTATTTCTCATCCTCTCAAGCCTTTTGGCTAAGATCAAGTGTAGTATCTGTTCTTTTCAGCTTAATATCTGAAATGACTCGCACGGCGGGTCTTCGATATTAAACTAATTTTTATCATTCGGTAATGGAGTCAATGGCTTGCTACACTTCTTACCACGGGTGTCCCTAGTATTGCACTACCTCTAGGTGACGCCCATTTTTTATATTTAAAAGCGGGATGGGATTGGCTATAGGAAGTGTTATTTACGGAAGTTTGGTTTTAGGTAATATTCGGAATGACTAATTCCAGGTGTAAAAAGTTTTGCGAGTTGTGAATATTTGGTTTTTTTTTGTTATATATCCAGGTCTCGTAAACAAATCATGTATACTGTAACTTCCCAAAGATTTCTAATTCAAAGCCGCATATTATTAGCCTTAAAATGACGGTTTATAGAAATAGGGTCCATATAAATAGTCATATATGAATGTATTAAAATATTATCACTCTTAAGATTGTTTCTACAAACATGTTTAACACAAAATTTCGAATAAACATTTAATAAATAGAACTAACAGGTAATAAAGTGTATGGCGTATTATTGTTTGTGGCAGACTATTGCAATTGAATGTATAGGAGACAGAAAACGGTATAAAAAATATTTTATTATCGGTATATACATTGTTTGAATCTCATGGATATTAAAATGTATATTATTTTTTAAATATTATGTTTTTGAGAATGTGTTAAATAAAAGATACTAGTAACAATGAAACTGTTAGTCGTTTAAAAAGAAAAAATATCACTTTTTTTATTATTTATAAACAAAATTAATGAAGAAAAGAAATTAAGAAAAAAGATCATTCATGATGAATAGCATAGAAACATACAAAGTTGTTTGCGTTTACGTATTAATTATTCCAATCTTTATTCTGACCTTTCTTTGTCCTGCCCTTGGTATGTTGTTGAAATTCGCAAATATTCTTTTTATGTGCACAACAAAAATGATAATAAATTTTGGTATTATATAATATAAAATATTAAATTTATCAATTTAAAGCTACATCATTTTTTATATGAAAAAGTTAATAATAATAATAATAATAATCCATATATGATAATTTCTCATCTTACATGCATCTTCAGAAATAACAAAGCTTTCACTTTTTGATAAAACTAACGGTGAACTTGTTTATAATGTATGGGTCGAATACGCGTAAGTACCACATTCATAATATTAATAATATTCTCTTTAAAAAAAAACACATTAAATTCTTTTCATCAATATATTTTATAGATATCTGGCATTAACATTGTCAATAGTTGGTATTTATATTAATCTAAACGCTATATATGTGTGATTCATAAAAGCTATTATATAGTATATTACTTAGATGTTGAAATTTCGATAATTTATTGAAACTATTTGAAATCTAGTTTCATTTTATCTGTTTTGCAGTTGTTGGCTTGCACTTGAAGAATTCTCTTGGTACTTCATGTATGTGCACATTATATATATATATTTGTTAAAAATTTATTATAATCTAAAATTTTATTTAACCATTAGGATTGTGTCAATTATTTGGATAATCTTTCCATGTAAGTAAATGTTTTTAAACTTCATATATATTTATATTATAATATATATATATTATATATTCTATATTTTTTAATGATAATCATAATATTTTTAAGTTATCTACACAATTTTCACCATCAATGAAATGAAAGATATTCCACCATTTTGTCCAGCAAACTATTCATATAAATCTGATATAATTTTGGCTGCATGTAATGTTCGTATAGCAAATTTAATTTGTATGTGGATATATTTCGTATTATTAGCTTTTGCAATACCCCTTGGATGGTCTATTTTTCATAATTTGGATAATTTGCCTGATCCTTCGGCTGCAGGTGCTTAAGGGTAGAGTACATGTAGATCATTTGTCATCTGCGCAGTAAATTTAGATTTACATAGCAAGTAAAAATATGGTACGTACTAATCAATTTTTTTAAAAACGTGCTAAATTTTTAGAATATATAAAATAAAATCGTTTATTTATTATAATTTTATACTTGTATATATCGTAAAAGTCCAAATTCTTTAAATAAACCTATCTCAACGAATTTTAAATACGTACCAAAATAAAAAAATTTACGATTAAAGTCAGGACAAGTGATCTACGTGTACTCTACCTTTAAACTTTTTTAAATAAAATCATTTATTTATTCTTATACTTTTTTAAATTAAAATTTAAAGTTGAGAATAGTTTTAATGTTTAAAATAGTTTTAAGAGCTTAACTGTTAAGAATAATTCTAAGAATAAAAGCCAATATATTTCATATGAATATTCGTATTTATTATTTACAGTGCCATATATTATTGACACGGATGTAGTGCCATATATTATTGACATTTATTCGAATATATTGATAATTTGATAAATGAACTAAATAGTTATCATTATCTAAAAGTTTAACGTTACGATAAATAAATTTTCATTTCTTCAAATACACCATTTTTAGTTAGTTTTATTTGCAAAATGTAATATTCTGTATAAATATAAAACAAAATTATTTAAACATTGATTTTTTTATTTTATTTTATTTATTTTTATCGTTAATCTAAATCAAGGTGAAAAATAAAAATGTCCAAATAACTTAAAATTTTTATCAAATCTAAAATCGTAAACATTTAATCGCCATAAATACTTAACAAATCAAGTATCCCAACCGTAAAGTTCATTTAATTTCCAATGAATATTTATTACACCAAAAATATAAATTTAATAAGGTATTCCTAAAATTAAAAAGAATATATATATCAGAAAAAATTTGTTATACATATAAAAACAAAATATGCATTTGTAAAATAGTCTTACCATTTGTAGCTTTTTGAAAACTATCATACAATACTGTTCTTTTATTTTCAAATGATTGATGTATTTTCACAATCATAAAATCAGCCGCACGACGTTCAGTTTTATCTAATTGGAACCTTTCACGTAATCTTTTCAGCGTCTCACCTTTAAAACACGGAAGTCCTGAGCCAAGCATTAAACCAACGCATTGGCATATATTTTCGGCATAAGGCCTATTATAATAAGTAATAAACCTTAAAACCTGTTCGATTTGTGAAAATTACATACATACAATTTATAATATTTTTACCTTACTGCTAAATATGCTTTGACACATAGCTCTGAGAACCATTTGAATTGTTGAACTTCAGCACTTCCCCCCATAACTTGAATCATTTCAGTGGTAAGTTTAAAAGGTGAGCTTTCAAAATTAATGCCACCAGGTGAAATATCAAGAATAAAACCGAAATCTAAATATTTACAAAAATTGTCAAAACGCTAACTTGATAACAAATAACTTTGCATTCTGATTTAATTCATACCAATATGAATTATGTGTCCTTCATCATCTAACATTATGTTTCCATTATGCCTATCTTTAATTTGCAGTAGAAATGATACAACAGAATAGGCAGCTACACTTTGAATAAAACAATTTCTTGCCTAAAATCGGTGATTGTATGATAAGCTTTTTTTTGAATAAAAAAAAAAAAGTAATAATAACAGTGAGTCTTACTTTATGAAAAGCAATAGAATCTAAACCACCATATTTTGTAAGAAAATACCTAAAATTTTTATGAAAAGCAATTAAAAAAATTTTTTTCAATATATTCTAAAATATTAAATTTATTTGACGTACTCATAAAGGCTATTAACTTTTTCTCGGCCCAATTGATCTCGAGAAATTGAATTAGGGATAACATCGATAACACCACACTATAACAATCATTTAAATTAATTAAGAACGATAAAATTTTAAATTACTAACAAATTTATGTCTCACCCCTGGAGCTGTTGCCACAACTCTATATGGAAAAAGATATAAATCCAATCCAACACTAGTGAAAATATTCTTAAATATTGCAATTAATTGCAAAGCCAATACATCTTGTCGGCAGTCATCACCAACTTTGAAAATTGCGGATTGCCACACATCAATTGTCTTGGGTTCATCATCATCATCATCTAATTCAATTGACTCGGAATGCATTAACGCTTCTTTAACTTCATCAGTATCACTTCGTTCTTTCCGTATTTTAAATGTAGCCATAAAAGGAGCCTATGTGCATAGTAAAAAGTATGTGTCTTTATTACTTTAATATTTTCTTTATTAACCAATCTCATAAAAACTAACCTTTGCATGACTTTGTAAAGGTCGACCAGATTTGTAATCTATATCCACTACCTTTCCTTCTGGGTTACTAGGTAAATAAACACCCACATCAACCTTTATTTTCGCCATTTCTTCATCAATTTTTGCCTAAATAAATTTATATAGTATTAATGTGTGCTTCTTAGTTACCAGCTTAATCAAAAACAATAATTATATACCTTTTTTTCTGGCTTTGTCTTTTTAATATAAGGCTTTAGTTTACCTGATATGGAAGTAACTGCATTGAAAAATGTAAACTCTCTTTCATAAAAGTTCTTGTCTTCGCCTGATAAAGAGTTTGCGATAGTTTCGATTATACGATCCAATGTTGGCTTCAATGAATCAGGCTAAATCATTCATGAGGGTGAGGAAACAAAAAAAAATTGATGGAAAGAAAATAAATAAATACATAAAATTCTAGAATTATCAACTTACAACTAATAGTTCATCATCTTTATACATATTTGCATTCATATTCCATATTATTTGATGAGCAAATAATTGTGATATCTTAGCAGCTCCCAAGATAAACCTTTCTATATAACCTAATTAAGGTAACAATAGTTATATTACAGTTTCAATTTATGCGCCCGTGAAAATTTCTCATACCTAGACTATCGAATCGTAGTGCTTGTACAATTTGAGGGATGTAAAAAAACACAACATCTACTGGATGATATTCAAGAACACGCATTGCATATTGCAAAATTAAGGGATGATTATTATAAGTTGACGAAAAATACGATGTAGCTGTTATTGGAGGAACAGGTGCCCAATATAACAGATACTAGATATGTCAAATTGTAAAATTAATAAACATACAAGTAGGCATCAAAAAAATTTATAAATCGTCGTACTTTTAATTGTGAAGTAATATTAGAATTCAATTTATCGCTTAATAATAAGGGAAGTGCATCAGCTACTCGTATAGCATCTGCTGAATTATTGTATAATATTTTATGAACCTCATTTTGTACATTTGGTTGCTTAAATCTTGCTGTCAATTGTACAGTTAAACTTGGTGATATTGTCCATGAATGTCGTATAATGTTTTTCCATTCTTCCTACATTTAATACAAATAATACGCAAACATTAACATTGCGACAAATCAAGATTTCACTTAACTATAATCAATATATTATAATACCTCTGCTAAACCTTTTTCCGCGCTAGAGACAAATGTATCTCTAATTGTGTCTGGGGAATTTAATGGATTACACCATGTTGCCATATTATTTATCTCGCTTTCCAGAAATAGTAGTAGAAGACTTTTAGACTTTTTAAATTGATTTATAACTTCATCTTTGCTTTTATCTGAAATTTAATACATAAAATGTTGGAAATAACGTGGATTAAAGGAAAAACAATCAAGATACAAATTAGCATACAGAGGAAATCTTGGAAACTTTTATGCACTATCTCTTTCAAATTTTTAACGTAGATTAAATATGCAAACCTTGAGCTGTGATTAGCGGACTTGATAAAGCAAATTGAGAATACTTTTTGGGTGTGGTGACTAAAACTTCATTCAATTCAATTTTATCATTCTCGACCAGCCTATATACCTCAATCAATAGCTTATATTCACTAAGCATTGCTCTCTTATTGCCACCATAAGCCCACCTTGTAACGGCAATAACGGCAATAACATGAAAAAAAGCAGACAATTAAAATGAAGTCAGGTGAAGTTTTAATGTGTTATATGTGTAAAAAAAAAAAAAAGAAAAAGTACTTTGGTGGAAGAGAAAACCATAAGAAAGCAGCTTTAAAAAGCCTTAAGCGGAAGTTATACTCTATTGATGCTTCCATTTTATTTGACTGTAAAATTCTAAATCCAATTATGAGTATTTGGAATCTACCTTCTCGAGATAACGAGTGATTGCTAAAGAATAAAAGTATGTTTCAATTAGGATATAAATTAAACTATAACCGAGAATTATATAATTATAAAATAATATACCTATGATGATCACAATTATCAAGAGTCATTTGAAAGAGTCTTACATAAAGGTATACAAGTTCATTACTTCTATATCGGAATGCTTGGAACCGCCCAGATAAAAATTGAATCCAGACTAAATGTGGTTCAAATAAATCTTTAGCGAGTTTATAATTCTTATCCCTAGTGGCTTTGTCCGATGGTGCATATTGCATTTTATTCACGAAAGGGTCTTTTATGCTAATATAATTAGAAAATCAATTTAAGTGTATAAGATATATGTACACTTTCATTTTAGTTGCAGACATCTTTATTTACTTAAGCGCAGAAGAGAATAGGCCCTTGCGATGTCGTACAGTCCAAGACCATCCGTCTGCAATTTCAACCATAACTCTCTGCTCGAATGTAGGTTTTTCGTTTATTATCCAATTCCATATTTCAGTGCCCAATTTAATAGATTCGGGAGAAAATAAATATACAGGAATCCAAACAATGAAATGAACAAGGTCTTCTTCAAGCTAATATATGTGGATAAAGATGCATTAACATGAAAATGGTCTATATTATAATAAAACACTGGATCGGTACACACCTTTGAAAATGCAACTAATAAGCCAGCCGCCAGATGTAATGTAGAACTAAGTTCTTTAATAGGAACATGATGATTTTTAAGTATTCTTTTTTCAAGGTGAGCTAATGATGCATGAACTTTTCTTTTTTGAATTTCTGCTATATCATCAGCTATTTTAGCCGGTGAGACATCATGCTTATTTGCTACAAGAATAATTAAAAACCAATTGATATATTGATAATATAATACTATGCCTCTCATGTTTAGATATTGCAAACCAGCTTACATTGACCTACGTCAGAAACCAAACAATGATGCGCACCAGTTGCTTGGCCATAATAATGGCGCCTTAAAGAATAATCTTTAATGAACTCAGAAACATAATCAACGACAGCATTCGGAATTCTTGGAAATATTCCTATTATGTAGAAATCTAATTACGGCTTTTAATGTTTAATGAAGCGTAATTATATAAATAATATGCTTTACCTGACTTGTAATCATTTTTAGAAAAACCTTTTGCAATTTCAAGTGCAATTGACCTTCCCATATGTACTGAATTATCTGAATTATATGGATCATATTCTGCAAGATAGTTCTATAATACAATAGTTATTTATAAGTATTCACATATTCAATGATACAAAACTGCTTTTAACTTAATTATGATAATACTTCTAACAATCCACGAATTTCTGAAGGAGCACGCGCCATAACAAAAGAAAGCCATTTTCTAGCATTTTCACATAGTTGCGATAATATTTCACGCCGATACGCATAGGAATCTGGCAAATCAAGTGTTACACCAACTTTAACAGAAATGAACGTATAAATTGGCGAATACTTGATATAATTTTACAGAATTTGTTATACATCCATGACGTATAATATATAAATACGTACAACTTTAAATATTAATTTGTAATGAAATACCTCGTTTGTATATTCAGCATCACAACTTTGCCACACAATATCGATTAATTCCAATAATAGAAATAATAACTTCTTATCACACAACAAGGAGGGAAATGCTGTCATCACATTATCGAGATGTTTAATGGCAAGTTGATGAACTTTTCCAAGACGATGGCAGGTGGCAATCATAAGATTACGCACTTGAGTGCGGAAATTTTCGTTGATGGTATGAGCAATTGCTCTACTTGAACACTCTTCGATGAAAACTTCAATTACCTATATTAATTGGAAAGCTTAATAAAGAAATAATTTCTGTAATTATTTAAAATCGTACCTTATTACCAATCTCTTCCATACAGCCAACTAATTTACTAGTATTTACGCCTCGATTAATAAAATATCTTAAAATAAAGGAGCATTGACCCATTTGGCTTCTCATGATTTCTATATGATACACCGAGAGCAAGAATGTGACTTCCGCAAATGAGAAATATTTTATTTCATATGCACGATTCGGCAGAAAAGAAGATAATGAATTTCGTACATTTGTAAATTCCTAAAATTAATATATATAATCAATATGCTAAATTCATAAGAACGCACAATTAATAGGTTGGAGGTAATAAAACGAACCTGATCAGAGTTACCTCGGACTAAAACTGAATTATATTCTAAATCTTTTTCAAGATAATTTGTTGCACTTTCCTGAACAAGTGGTGGCGTTTTTTGAGCAATCATTATTAAGCAATCACGCCATTCACGCATCCATGATTCTTCAGAAACGAAGCCATACAACACACAATGAAACCACATATCGCGAAAAAGACTGACTAATTCTTTAGGTGCGTTCACATGCAATTTAAAATCATTGTGGGACAAAAGAGTTCTGAGAACCGGAAGCAATATTCCAATTTCACCTATCAATGATGTAACCTGTCATAAATATTTGCTAAAGTTAAGACTTTACTACCAAATGTTACTGATAAATAAGATTTCAATGTAGTATACCTGGAATTTGCCATTCTTGGCAATTGTCTGTTGAATATCAACGCCTTTGTCTACAAATAATGATAGAATGTTCAACAAATAAAGCTCGTAAAATTCTGGTCTAGCACTGATTCTATTAGCTAAGTCCATCTGACATTTAAGGACCTTTAAAATTATAATAATTTAACGTAAATTTAATATTAATACAAAAGTAAATCTTTACTACAAAATAATAACATTTACCGTAGTCGTTATCATTTTGTTATCGGATGATATTTTTTGGCGACTAATTTCAGAAAACTTTCGCACAATTTCCAAAAAAATTTTATCTGAAGATATTAAAGCAACGTCGACAAATTTTTCAAGAATGAGAGCATCTAATGCTGGTGTGTGGTTACGAAGACGCGATATGAGCATGGTGACACACAATTCAGTGATCTGATACAAAATAAAGCTTATTCAGATTAAGTTCAATAATATATTAATAACAAACAACAATAAATATATATAGTTACATTATCGTCCTTCAAAATACAACTCACTCCAGTAACCGTACAAACAAGATTTTCACATACTTGCTGGCGTTGTTCTTCGGTTCGTGAAATTCCGCTAATAGAGCTATGGATAGATATTTGATCTGGCGAAAGCAAATTGCTTGGCGCGAGCAACTTTTTAGGAGACACCGGTGGACGCTCATGCCCACCTGTTGAAAGACTTGTTAGCATATTATAAATAACAGACAATGTTTCTTGAGGAACAGCCTAAAAATTGATGACAATTTAAAATTTTAGAACAAAATTTAAATTAATTAGGCGCTTAACAAGTCTCTTACCTTTAAACAATAAGCTAATCGAATAATAGCATACTCCAGAATTGTAAGGTTTTTATCAGCAACGACAGCCAACTCAAAAATAGTTGAAGGTGTGGTTAGAAATTTACGAATAGTTTTAATCATATTTTGAGTTGTCTGTGGAAAACTATTTAATTTAATACAAAATTAAGCGCATAAATATTTTAAATAATATAATAATAATAATAATAATAACATATTTAGAATGATTATACAAACTTCAAAGCGAGAAGTGTTGCAGAATCGAGTGCGGCAGCCTGCACTTTTACATCCGGAGTTTGTGGAACATTAAATAAAGACGTATTCAATTTTCCGATTAATTCGTCATCGACTTCATGAAGAAAAACGCTTGCTATGGCGGCAACATCCTTTAGGCAAATCCGTCAGAAATAAAGTCAATTAACAGTTTTTCAAATAATCACAGGCATAAGGAACAATGATGCCTACCAAGCTTGCAGCCATAATTTCTCTGGCATAAAGAGCGAGTGGACAATCATTGCCTTGAGCAACAAGTTTATCCAAAATAGTCGATAACTCTGCAAAATATTGCAAAGACATTACATAGGTCCTTCGCAGAGCTTTCTTTACATAATCACTAATGGGTAAAGATATAACAACTTTGTTACAAACTACTATTCTCCAAACGTCTTTGAATGTGATTAAACTGAATGCATCATCAGGACGACTAAGGACAAATATAGCACGTGTAAGCATGCTTCTCATCACAGTAGTAAGGCCCAATATAATTCCATTAGTAGATAGTGGATATCCATGATATTGATATCTTGATAAAAATTTTTTTGTATAATGATGTGCAGGATCTGAAGACTGAACTATTGTATCAATAATCTTGCCGACTTCCTGAAGGCAATCATTATGAACGAGTGCTTGGGACTGATGAGCAAATGATTCAAATTCATTGCAATGCCAAGGAAAATTAGATGACTCGATTGCACGAAACATCCCATTCAATAAAGGAAGAACTATGGTACATATATATTCAGCTGTCAAAAATAAAAATAAACGAAATTTAGAACATTTTAAGCAAAAATTGTATATTAAACAAATAAATATAGATAATGTAATACCATCTCCGCATTTAAGTAAGAAGCCCAATCTTCCAAGAAAGGAACATATATCTTTGAATATTCTTTCCCGATATGCAGTTGTTCTTGTGGCAATATTCAATAGCTCTGATATAATTTTGTCAGAAAGTTGATCTGGTGGCGAGAAGTCTATTTAAATAAAATTTCATTCTATTTTGAGTTCGAAACCTTTCAAATTCACATAAGAAAAAGTAGTGAATTTTAATACCTTTCCATCGTAGATCATCTTCGAAAGAAAAATTCGGGAAAAATTTCAAATAATTCAAAAGAATTGGAAGAACTTTATCCACGTGCACCTCATTGTATGTGCCTGCGGCAAATGAAGCCAATGCTGATATATTTTGTAGGTATGATTTTGTCTAAGTTGATATAAAATAAAGATTTTGAACTGGAAATAAAAAAACAATAAAAACATAAAGTTGATATACTAGCACTAAACTTTAACATACTATAAAGCAGATAGATTGTTGCGGTTTGCCAATGTCAGGATCCTTGTCTATTGGCAATTCAGGACATCGATTTGCTAAACGTAATACATCCTCATTTGTTGTATCTACATCAACACTTAATATACTTGCCAGCTGGTCCAGGATCAATTCATGTAAATCAAATTCGAGGCTATAAGATAAATACATTAGTATTTATGGTGATTATACATGATCAAAGAAATTATGTCGAATGTACCTGTCCATCAAATATTCAATAATCAAAGAATAATAACAGTGAAGGACAAAAAAAGAAAGATTTGTATTTTTGGTATTTTGGATGGAAGTTTGCAACTAGATTAGAAATTTTTAATCAAGTTTAAAACCGAGCATCCTGTTAAAAGCTTAAATTGGCTGAAGATCATGGGTACACAACAGCACCATTAACATATATAGTAAAATGTCATAGGAATACATTCATGTTATTGGCTAAATTAAGTCGATCTATGCTTGACTGGTAACCAATCAAATCGCAGAAAGTCATTAGAAATTAGGGACTTCGATCGGCAAAGCAAGCTTTTTTAAACAACTATTGTGGTATATTTTGACTCTCGAGTTAAAAATTACATGATTCAAATCATGACAAATTTTTTGAGTTATCTGAGTCGCGTTTTGATGAGTCAAATCATTAGAACAAATAGATTTATTACATATTACTAGCAAAACATTGTAAAAAATTCCATTTTTTTGTTTACCGCGTTACCGGGGAGTACTGTATTACTCTTCTAGGTTATATTATTAACCAACATTTATATCCATCTAATTATTACTTGCATTTAATCTAGAGTTGTTAATGAACTCAACCTAGATTAGAGAACTAAACCCGTATAATATTTGGTTCCGGGTTAACCACTCGTTTATAATACTACTATATAGGTGAAAAATCGGTTGATTAAAAATTATGCTGGTGATCCGGTTGACCCGGTTAACCCGTTAAAATTATTAATTAAATGTCGTTATGAGCATCTGTACGGTAAGTTATGTAACCAGATTAAAAAAATAAAATTGATTTTTGTTAGTAATTGAAATATACAGTATATTTATTTGTTTATGAAAATTCTTTTAGTTTCAAAGCAAAATTGTAACTTTTGCAAATTGCAGAGGATTGAGAATATGTAAAATTCATTTGGGGTGGTCAATAGAAACCAAGCAAGTTGTTTATATTAAAAATTTCTTCAGACTTTAAGCAAGAATATCTTGACAACTACGTGACCAAATTTAATCTTTTTTTTTTATTTGAAAGTTATAAATTTATAGAATTCAAGTAAAAAAATTTTATCAAATTTGATCAAATAGTTGTTAAGATATCTTTGTTTAATATTTTAAAAATTTTTAATAAAAACAATTTGCTTGGTTTTCACTAACCATTTTTATCAAAATTTTTAGTTATTTGTAAAATTAAACCTAATTAATACAAATATATATATGCACAGTTGTTAAAAGTTTAGTACATTAATAATTAAACAGATTTGCGTAAAAATAGAATTTTAATACAATATTTTAAAACAAAATTTTATTTTGCAAATTATTATAAAGATTAAATTTAATTATTAATATTTTTTTTTTTTTGATATTAAGGTGATTTTTTTGGTCTTTTGACTTTTATTAACAACTTTTTGGTAATGTGATTCTATGAATTACTACAGGAGAGCATACAATTAGCTACATGTATAATTTTTTTATATTACCTATTTAAGAAGTTTGCCTAAAGGTTTCTTACCAATTATTATACCTAACATTTCTGTTTGGGTGTTTTACTTTAAACCTTTTGAACTTGTAACTTGTATTAACTCACTAGATCATACCTAGATGTTCAGATCATCATCTCAACTTTAGCATTATTTTATTCTTGAATAAACTTTTCAGAGTTTTTTGTATTTAGTTTTACAATTGATTTAGATATCATTATAGCAGAATCAACACTTGTAATTAAGACTTAATTATTAAACTATTATGTCTTTATAGAGTTTATTTAGATCTTAGTATCTACTTTATAGCATATCTCTAATATTTTAGTATATCTTTGAATTTTATCAGACTTCCAATTCAGATAGCCTATATAGGATTATAACCAGTTTATCAGTATATTAGATCTTTTTTTCCAGTTTGTTTTGGCAATCTGGTTAATGATGTCTTTGAAATTTCTAACTTAGAGGTTTTTATTTGTCTAGTTACTAAAAGATTTTGTTATTCATTTTCAATAATCTAACCTTTATAGTAGTGTCATTAAAGATTCAATCTACTTCTCTACTTAGGTTTTTCTAAATAAACTTCTTGTTACCTAATTTTAATAAATGATATAGTTACAAGAACTTATTTAATATTTGTATTATTTAGTTATTAGTTTGTATTCCTTTATATAATTTCAATATGCTTTATAATCTGCCAGTCATACTGATGTAATTATCATTACAGGTATTCTAATCTAATTATTAATAACAATTGTTATAATATGAATATTACATAGATAATTATCCAAATTTTTGTTATCAATAAAATTTAAACATTGAATCTACTATTTGAAAGGTTGACAACCTGACCACTTCACTAGGTCATCACATCTCATTAATAAATTTTACTTTAAATTAAAATTTTTTATAAAGTTATAAACATTATAAAAATTATAAATTTTTAGTTAAAATATAAAAATATTATATATAATATAAAATAATATATATTAATAAGTTTACAAATAATTTAATAAATTGTTAAAGTTAAAAGTTTTTATTATTAAATATTAAGTTATATTTTTTTATAATTATCTTTTATATAATTACAAATCTATATAATCATTTTAAAATAAATTTATAAAAAAAAACTATTTTTTATATTTTTGTTATACTTATAACTAAAAGTGCAAATAATACTTCTTTATTAAAATATTATAAACAGTTTGAATTTTTTTTCTCTTAAACAGTTATGCTAGTATTTTATTAAAATTTTAAAATTATATTTGCAATTATATAAATATTTTTAATAACTAAGTTTAGCATTATTTGGTTATCTTAATAATACCTAAATGCAATTTGTTTTATTACTTTAAGCAAAAATAAACTACTTATCTGATTACTTAAAATCTATAATAAAAGAGTTTTTACTTTTTTATGACAAGTTACAATATTATCTTTCTGATTTTTTTCTTAATTTGCTTTTTTTTTTCTTTTATCTTTTCTTTTTTTTTTTTATTCTTTTCTGATTTGTTTTTTTCTCTTTATTTAGTTTTTTTTTCTATTTCTTTTTTGATTCTATGTTATTCTTATTAATTTTTTTGCTATTCTTCATACCTGTTTATAAAATATATTTTAGATTATTCTTACTATTATCTTTATAAACTATTATTTTGATTTCATATTTAGATATTATATTAACCTGTTCTGTTTTTTTTAGAATTAGATTTTTAATTAATATTTTGTTCATTTTTAATTCTTCTGTTTTTGTTTTTTTAAAGAGTGCTATGTATAATATATATCATAACTGATGCTAAATTTTGCTGATATTGAAGTTTATATGATAATCATCTAATAATAAGTCATGATTAGAAAATTCAAAAGAAATATTAATTTTGAAAATACCAAAAACTTCCAGAGAAACAACCTTTTATATATTAGCAAAAAAGTTTTTTTTTTAATTTTATTATATAGCTCACTGGCTCTTATCTTAATATAATCTTTAACACTTATTTAAATGCTAACTCTAATATAAATAAACTCTGTATATAAGAACAAAATTGTCTTATTATATATTATGTGAACTTCAGTATTAACTAAATTTAGTATTAGCTATAACAATATATATATATATAAATTTGGATTTTTTTTCTTTTTTAATTCCTTTTATATTGTTATAATAATTATTTTTTGGATTTTCTTTTAAAGATTTTTTTGTTCCTTATATATTACCAAGTATGTTTATATTTTTTTTACTTTATTTTAGCATATTTGGCATTTTGTTGTTATATATATATTTAGTCTTTTTTTGATAAATTTTTTTAAAGTCAAAAGTTTATCTATTATGTATTTTATAAATGTACTTTTTCTGGTATTATTTCTTTCTATCTTGCAATATATTCTATTTCTTTTTATTTTGCAGTACACTCTTTTAGTCATTTTTAGCCTTTTTCAAAATTATGTTTAATTATAAATCATAACTTCTGCTTTTAGTTTTAAGTCTTTAATTACTTATATTTTTTTATTTTGTTTTTAATCTTATATTTATTACTAATTTATAAAACAGTTTTACTAGTATGTTAGTTTATTTGTTTTTTTACTCTAAATAGTATTTTATCTCTTTACAATTAACTTCTTTAATCTATATATATTATCTTCTTATTTATTGCTTTTTCTTTGTTAAACTATTAGCTTTATTCTTTTATTTATTTTTACTATAACTTTTTACTTTAACTAATTCTATTTGAATGTTATTTGTCTTGATAAAATTTCTAATCTTTATTATTTATATTGTATTTTTTTTTTAAAAATCTTATTTTTATTTGTTTGTTTTAAATTTCTACTAATATTTCTTATTGTAGCATTACTGTCTATATATATTTTTATTTGGTTTTCTTTTAATATTATTAAAATTACTATCCAAATATTTATTAATTTAGCTATTGTTAATTTCTACTATTCTTTTAAACCTAATACTTTCTTTTTTTTTTAACTATTCTTGTATTTTATTTGTTTGAATCTATTTTATATCTATATTGTTTTTAATTATTGTTTTTTCTCTAGTTTTTATATTTGTTGTTTATCTGTATATATTATATATTTGTTTTTATTTCTTATTATACTTTTAAAATTACAATAAGTTGTTATTTTTTTAAGTAGCAGGTTATAAGTTCAAAATTTATTATAAATAAAAATTTGAAAAATATATAAATATTATAACAATAGCATTTTATTAATTAGTTTAAATAAGATATTTGTAATAATAATCATATTAACATAATTGGCAGGTTATAAAACATTTGTATAATCTTGGTTATATAAAGAAAAGCAAACTAATACTAGACAATACAAACTTAAAATAAGTTTTTGTAACTGTATAAATTTATAGAACTAGAAAAAACTAAAATCTACTTAAAAAGATTTAAGTAAAAAAATAATATATATTTTTAATAATCCTATTATAAAGACTAAATCTAAAAAATAAATACTAATATAAAGAAATCAAATAAACAATAAACTCTAGTATATATTATTAATTAG